CAGGAGAACCACAACATTCACCCACCAGCAGGTGAACCACAACATTCATCCACCTACAGGAGAACCACAACATTCACCCACCAGCAGGTGAACCACAACATTCACCCACCAGCAGGTGAACCATAACATTCACCCACCAGCAGGTGAACCACAACATTCACCCACCAGCAGGTGAACCATAACATTCACCCACCAGCAGGTGAACCACAACATTCATCCACCTACAGGTGAACCACAACATTCGCCCACATACAGGAGAACCACAACATTCACCCACCAGCAGGTGAACCACAACATTCATCCACCTACAGGTGAACCACAACATTCACCCACCTTCAAAAGAACCACAACATTAATCTACCTGCAGGTGAACCACAACATTCACCCACATACAGGAGAAACACAACATTCACCCACCTGCAAGTGAACCACAACATTCACCCACCTACAGAAGAATCACAACATTCACCCACCTACAGGAGAAGCACATCATTCACCCACCTGCAGGTGAACCACAACATTTACCCACCTACAGGTGAACCACAGCGTTCACCCACCTACAGGAGAACCACAACATTCACAAACCTGCAAGTGAACCACAACATTCACCCACCTGCAGGTGAACCACAACATTCACCCACCTGCAGGTGAACCTAAACATTCACCCATCTGCAGGTGAACCACAACATTCACTCAGCAGCAGGTGAACTGCAACATTTACCCACATACAGGAGAACCACAACATTCACCTACCTGCATGTGAATCACAGCATTTTCCCAACTACAGGAGAACCACAACATTCACCCATCTACCGGAGAACCACAACATTCACCCACCTGCAGGTGAACCACAACATTCAATCACATGAAGGAGAAATACAACATTCACCCACCTGCAGGTGAACCACAATATTCACCCACCTGCAGGTGAACCAAAACATTCACCCACCTGCAGGTGAACCACAACATTCACCCACCTGCAGGTAAACCACAACATTCACCCACCTGCAGGTGAACTACAACATTCACCCACCTGCAGGTGAACCACAACATTCACCCACCTACAGGTGAACTACAACATTCACCCGCCTGCAGGTGAACCACAACCTTCACCCACCTGCAGGTGAACCACCACATTCACTCACCTGCAGATGAACTGCAACATTCACTCACCTGCAGGAGAACCACAACACTCACCCACCTACAGGTGAACCACAACATTCACCTACCTCCAGGTGAACCACAACATTCACCTACCTCCAGGTGAACCACAACATTCATAACCAGCAATGATTTGTGGTTATAGAAAGAAATTCTTTCATAACAATTTACAATTCAATTACAGAAGGTATGGTACTCGACCCTATGGCGTGTGAATGTTAGCACTCACAGCTGGTCCAGAGGTTAACACACCGGCCTGTGGGTGTTAGGACTCGCTTACCATGGTTCGATACCTAATACGTTCTGTGATTTAATTGCAAATTTAATTATGAAAGTATTTTTTTTTTAATAAGCACAAATATTTGTCTGGTCAAAGAGGACAAAATAAATATTCAGACAAGAATATGTTGGTTTCACCTTTCCATGTATAAAACCTTGAACTAAAATTACAACAGCATGATATAGAATTAGAACTGAACAAGAGTCTAATACTCCGTTTGGTTTCCAAAACTCCGAGAAGGTCGTATCAAGCAGGTTCATGGTTGACACATGTTATCAAGTTTCATAAACGACAGTACCGATTTCAATTTGAATAAAAGTTCAGGATTATTTAAATTAGATTAATTTATTAGAGATAGAATTTGTGAGAAATTTAAAGTGAGCCTGAATAGTCACTCATAAAAATTTTATTTGACATGTAACCTGACCAAATCTTCACTTAGGGTTTTAGTATTTCTTGAGAATATATTGGTTTGACTACCATGTTTCTGCACATGTACTTTATTTAGTGTGAATGGGGACAATATGGAGAAGACCCACTGCAGTGTGGAGAGACTGCGGGCCCATCTGTCAGTCAATAGTATGGGAATTGTTAAAATTAAAGTTTCCACAACTATGTGCACTCACAGCCAATAGGTGGGTGAACTCTTCTACGTGAATTCTGCAGAAATTTTTCCCACAATGAAACTACTAAATCTGGACTGCGTGTAGTGCATAGTCTCAACTGGTGTTTGGTGCCATCATTGCTGCTAGCCTTGTGCACCCATGCTCAGGTTACAGTGTAATAGTTCACTTGAAGCTTGAACGACTCAGATAGTCGAGCGGAGACAATTTTTGGAGTCCCAGACCCGCCTTAATGTCTGCTACCTGGAGTCTACCTGGAGGGTATTCCGGGAATCAACGTCCCACCTTCCCGGTCCATGATCAGGCCTCCCGGTGGATGAGGGCCTGATCAATCAGACCGATAACCCTGGCCCCACGCACGCAGTCCATAGTAATCACAGCCCGGCTGATTTGGAACTTAAAAAAAATATCCAGTTTCCTCTTCAAGACCGCTAGGGAATCTCTTGGTTATACCCCCCTTATGTATAACGGAAGACTGTTGACTATTATCTGGCCCCTTACACTTACTGTGTTGTATCTCAGTATACTCATGGCACCCCTGATTTTCACTGGGGTTATTTTGCACTGTTTGCAACTGTGGCCCGTAGCTCGCTTAGTAGCGCACTCAGCTCACACACTGAGGTCCGGGAGTCGATCCCCTGTACGTCTGGAAACATTAGGACGTGTTTCCGTAAGACACCTGCTGTCCATGTTTACCTATCAGTAAAATGGGTACCTGGGTGTTTGTCGAATAGTGTTGGTCGCATCCTGGGACGTAATTAGCCTAATTTGCCCGAAAGTCTCTGTATACCTTGTATATGTACTCCATAAGTTTTACAAAGAAGAGACATAGTAGTGAGACTGGTGGGAGCTCAGGTTCCCTCTCCTCACATAATGTGGAACTCAGGCTTCCTCTTCCCACATACTGTTCAACCCAGCTCCCTCTTCTAATATACTGTGAAACACAGGCTCCAATACTCCACCTACTGTGGAGCCCAGTTTCCCTCTCCCTACGTACTGTGGAGCCCAGGGTCCCTCGCCCTACGTACTGTGGAGCCCAGGGTCCCTCTCCCTACGTACTGTGGAGCCCAGGGTTCCTCTCCCAACATACTTTGGAGCCCAGGGTTCCTCTCCCAACATACTTTGGAGCCCAGGCTCCCTCGCCCCACAAATTGTGGAGACCAGGCTCTCCCCCACGATGCGGAGCCCGGCTCCCTCTCCCCCAAATACATCAAATACAAACAGCTGATTGTCAGTGGTGCGAGTGACGAGACACTGTGCTTGTTAGAACATGATGCTAGACTAAGTGCTTAGAAGAGTCTAGGTGCTGGAATATGGTGCTAGGGGAGGGTAGGTGACTTAGAAGATGGGGCTAGGGGAGCGTAGGTGCCTTATACAATGGTGCTAGAAGAGGATAATAGGTGCCAAGGCTAGGTGCCGTCGATGGATGAATGAAAGCTAGAGGTGATGGAACGGGGGGAGGGGGTGTGTCGTTATGTATACTGATGAATGAGAATAGGTGCTGGGGGGGGCGAGGGAAGATCAATTTAAAAAAAAAGGTGGCAGTGATATTGTGTAGGTGCCAGAGGGAAGGGTGTGCGAGAGTGATCATGCAGAGATGTGTTCCAATTACGTTTCCCTTCCAAAAATCACAATTGCCACTTTGTGCGTACATCAACCAAAGCGCTCAAAATGGAATTGAGAAGAGTTGTACTGGCGGGCCAGGAAAGGTCATTCTATTAGAGTGTTGGGGAGAGTCGGCTGCCTGGTTCATGTCTATACGTAGCCTGATTTTACAGTGTTGTTTATCCTGTTGCAGCTGTGTGGCTGGATAATGCAGCGGTCAGTAATTGGGCTAATAAATGTATAGGCAACGGATATGTAAAAAAAAAAAAAATCAGATTTTTACAAAAGTGAGACGCATGGAACAATTTTTGTGCATGACTAGAAACAATACATAAAGCATGCAGTTGTTGTACACGTAGAAACAAGTGGTAAGTAGATGGGTGAGTTGTATATAAATATGTGCATGTATGTGTGTTAGTGTGAAGGACGATGAGTTGAATGAACGTTGGAGGCACGTACTGGAGGCGGGGAGGTAGTGGTGGATGGTGGAGAGAGGGTAGAAAGGTTCAGCGTGGGAGGAGGAGATGACGAGGAGTGTTGCGGCGGCTTTAGGCACCTGCACGGACTGGGTGAGCTGGGTGCCCAGGGCGGCACTCACCCGTGACATAAGTGCCACACGCCCCGGGTAACTCTCCCCTGCAAGGTGACACCCACAGCGTCACTATCACCTCACCTTCATGACACTTGCTCAAAATGAATAACACACACACACACACACACACATACACACACACACACACACACATCGATACCTTAACGGCAATGGGACCGGACATCTCCCCGTGGGTCCTTAGAGAGGGAGCGGATATGCTATGTGTGCCACTTACCACAATCTTCAACACATCCCTGGAAACTGGGCAACTACCTGAGGTATGGAAGACGGCAAATGTAGTTCCCATTTTTAAAAAAGGAGACAGAAAAGAGGCACTAAACTATAAACCTGTGTCACTGACGTGTATAGTACGCAAAGTTATGGAGATTATCAGGAGGAGAGTGGTGGAGAACCTGGAGCGGAACAAGAGTATAAACGCCAACCAGCACGGATTCATGGAAGGCAAATCCTGTGTCACAAACCTTCTGGACTTTTATGATAAAGTAACAGAAATAAGACACGAGAGAGAGGGGTGGGTTGATTGCATCTTCTTGGACTGCAGGAAGGCCTTTGACACAGTTCCTCACAAGAGATTAGTGCAGAAGCTAGAGGAACAGGCGCATATAACAGGAAGGGCACTGCAATGGATCAGAGAATACCTGACAGGGAGGCAACAACGAGTCATGGTACGTGATGAGGTATCACAGTGAGCACCTGTGACGAGCGGGGTCCCACAGGGGTCGGTCCTAGGGCCAGTGCTGTTTTTGGTATATGTGAACGACATGATGGAAGGGTTAGACTCAGAAGTGTTCCTGTTAGCAGATAATGTGAAGTTAATGAAGAGAATTAAATCAGATGAGGATCAGGCAGGACAAACTGGACACCTGGTCCAGTAACTGGCCTCTCAAATTTAACCCCGCCAAATGCAAAGTCATGAAGATCGGGGAAGGGCACAGAAGACCACAGACGACGTATAGGCTAGGTGGCCAAAGACTGCAAACCTCGCTCAAGGAGAAAGATCTTGGGGTGAGTATAACACAGAGCATGTCTCCGGAAGCACACATCAACCAGATAACTTCTGCAGCATATGGGTGCCTGGCAAACCTGAAAACAGCGTTCCGATACCTTAGTAAGGAATCGTTCAAGACACTGTACACCGTGTACGTCAGGCCCATACTGGAGTATGCAGCACCTGTTTGAAACCCGCACTTGATCAAGCACGTCAAGAAATTAGAGAAAGTGCAAAGGTTTGCGACAAGGTTAGTTCCAGAGCTAAGGGGAATGTCCTATGAAGAAAGATTAAGGGAAATCGGCCTGACGACACTGGAGGACACGAGGGTCAGGGGAAACATGTTAACATATAAAATACTGCGCGAAATAGACAAGGTGGACAGAGACAGGATGTTCCAGGGAGGGGACACAGAAACAAGAGGCCACAATTGGAAGTTGAAGACACAGATGAGTCAAAGGGATGTTAGGAAGTATTTCTTCAGTCATAGAGCTGTCAGGCAGTGGAATAACCTAGAAAGTGATGTAGTGGAGGCGGGAACCATACATAGTTTTAAGACGAGGTATGATAAAGCTCATGGAGCAGGGCGAGAGAGGACCCAGTAGCAACCAGTGAAGAGGCGGGGCCAGGAGCTAAGACTCGACCCCTGCAACCACAAATAGGTGAGTACACACACGCACACAGAAACACACAGACACACACACACACACACACATACACACACACATATACGTGAACGACATGATGGAAGGGTTAGACTCAGAAGTGTCCCTGTTTGCAGATGATGTGAAGTTAATGAGGAAAATTAAATCAGATGAGGACCAGGCAGGACTTCAAAAAGACCTGGACAGACTGGACACCTGGTCCAGCAAATGGCTTCTCGAATTTAATCCTGCCAAATGCAAAGTCATGAAGATAGGGGAAGGGCACAGAAGACCACAGACAGAGTATAGGCTAGGTGGCCAAAGACTGCAAACCTCACTCAAGGAGAAAGATCTTGGAGTGAGTATAACACCGAGCATGTCTCCGGAAGCACACATCAATCAGATAACTGCTGCAGCATGTGGGCGCCTGGCAAACCTGAGAACAGCGTTCCGATACCTTAGTAAGGAATCGTTCAAGACACTGTACACCGTGTATGTCAGGCCCATACCGGAGTATGCAGCACCTGTTTGGAACCCACACTTGATAAAGAACGTCAAGAAACTAGAGAAAGTACAGAGGTTTGCGACAAGGTTAGTTCCAGAGCTAAGGGGAATGTCCTATGAAGAAAGATTAAGGGAAATCGGCCTGACGACACTGGAGGACAGGAGGGTCAGGGAAGACATGATAACGACATAAAATACTGCGTGGAATAGACAAGGTGGACAAAGACAGGATGTTCCAGGGAGGGGACACAGAAACAAGAGGCCACAATTGGAAGTTGAAGACACAAATGAGTCAGAGAGATATTAAGGAGTATTTCTTCAGTCATAGAGTTGTCAGGCAGTTGAATAACCTAGAAAGTGACGTAGTGGAGGCAGGAACCATACACAGTTTTAAGACGAGGTTTGATAAAGCTCATGGAGCGGGGAGAGAGAGGGCCCAGTAGCAACCGGTGAAGAGGCGGGGCCAGGAGCTAAGACTCGACCCCTGCAACCACAAATAGGTGAGTACAAATAGGTGAGTACACACACACACACACACACACACACACACACACACACACACACACACACCAGCAACCACAATTAGGTGAGTACACACACGACCACTATACTCTAGAACTTTAAGAACATACACTTAAGACGCCATGATCTGGCGGCTCTAATGCTGACAGATCATTGCAGTTGGAGGGAAGATGAGAAAAACTTAAGTTTAGATAAGACTTAAAACAGTGTATATAGTATATAACCAATCTTAAAATAAAAATATTTGCAATGCTCTAAATATTTGTGGCTACAATGGTCATGGGGCCAGATGGTTGCTACAGTAACAGTCTGCTCTTGACACAACGCAATCTCTTCTGATTTGAACTTAGTAATACCTAAGGATGCTAGAATCAGGAACTATGGTCATAATGTGTCCTGCTTGAAGTTTCTCAATTCTCTCATCTTTTAAGACAATGGACACTAAATATGAACCATAATAAACTGCTCCTATCTGAACACGAACTTGTATTTAAGTCTGAAATGAATGTTCTAAGGATAATTTATAGTTCTTCTCATTTCTATATTTCTAATTGTAACTCAATTAAAATTTTTTAATATATATATATATATATATATATATATATATATATATATATATATATATATATATATATATATATATGTCGTGCCTAATAGGTAAAACTGGTCAATTAGCAAGAACTCATTAAAAATTAGGTCCATTCTAAAATTTTCTCTTATACGTTTAAAGATATATTTTTTTCATTGATGTTAATGTTAAATTTTTTAATTTTGCACCAAAAGAAACTTAGAAAAGTTACCTAACTTTATTATAACAAGCGCAATTTATTTTAGCTTAACCCAACTAAATATATTTTTGGTACATTTACAATAATTTAATAATAAACAAACACAATGAAATATATTTTTCTTCGTTAGGTTCAGAATGATTTTTGCGAAATTATTGCATACACATATTTTTGCTTGTCTTATATGGGAAGATGAGCGTTGCTATTTAAGCCAAAATTGCAAGTTTTACATATTCGGTACGACATAATATATATATATATATATATATATATATATATATATATATATATATATATATATATATATATATATATATATATATAACTTGCGATTTTGGTTTAAATAGCAATGCTCTTGTTGCCGAATAAGGCATGCGAAAATTTGTGTATGCAATAATTTCGCAAAAAATATTCTGAACCTAACAAAAACAAATATTTCATTGGGTTTTTTATTATTAAATTACAGTAAACCTATCTAAAATATATTTAGTTGGATTAGGCTAAATTAAATTGCGTTTGTTATAAGGTTAGGTAAGATTTGTAACGTTCTTTTAGTACAAAATTATTAATTTTTACCTTAGCATAAATTAAAAGATATATCTTTAAACATATAAAAGAAAATTTTAGAAAGGACTTACTTTTAAATGAGTTCTGGCTAATTGACCAGTTTTACCTCTTCGGCAGGACGATATATATATATATATATATATATATATATATATATATATATATATATATATATATATATATATATATATATATATATATATATATATATATATATATTCAATAAGATCACAGTAAACAGGTGATTTCAGAATATGCAAAACAACCACTCTGAAAGAATAGAGAAATTCCAAGCGCTTTCGTGACTACTCACATTATCAATGAACTATTGATAATGTGAGTAGTCACGAAAGCGCTTGGAATTTCTTTATTCTTTCAGAGTGGTTGTTTTGCATATATATATATATATATATATATATATATATATATATATATATATATATATATATATATATATATATATATATATATATGCAATAATCGTGAACAAGCGATACAAGATGCAAAAAAAAAAAAAACAGAGGGAGAGTTGAGTGATAGCTGTAGGACTTTCGTGTTGCAATTATCACATCATCAGGAGCTTCCAATGTTGCAGAAATTAGTAGAAAGTCTGAGCAATTTTGTCCAGGGGAACGTTTTTTGCTCGAATGAGGTAGGGAGGCAGGAGACATTAAGTGCCCCAGACATACCAGTACCCAGTGTCCAGTGCCAGAAAGATTAATTATTAAAGCATTAGAAGACAGTCAGTCCACAAGCACTGATAATGTAGTAATGACGTAGTGAACATAGCAGTAGTCACATGATAATTATAAAATATTCGGTCAGACATTGATATGATATAAAAGGCTTTACATATTGAATACAGATATATCTGGCAATAGTTTTAGGAAAATTCCATGAACTTAAGAAAATGGGCCCAAGGCCGACTCACCTCAAACTAAAAGGAGACATCTGTAGTTTGTCTATAGGAAGACGGACATAGTGTATCTATCCCACCAGATTTTTGGGCAGACGCTGGTCTGACCATCAAGAACGAGCAGGTAAACAGGCCCTAATTCCTCAGTGTGGAACTACAACACTTAAGACAACTCAAAGCATTCGTATTGGAATCGAGATTGAATAATCCACTAATATTAATGTTTAATGAACGTTTATCATGTTTTATAACTGCAGATTCTAAAATATTTTTTTTTCAAACCATGATATACAGGGAACTAGAACTTTGGTTTCTGATCAGTTTGAGGAATTGTTGCAAACTCGGCTGTGGTTGAATATTACATTTGATTCCTTAGCTGTTTGTATTGAACATCGGTATCGTGTTATTCTAACATCACATAATAGTTGAGGTCAATTCAAACTTGATTCGCTTATAATTGAGGTTATCATGCATAGAATAAAACTGGATTCCTACGCGAATGCTTAAGATTGTTTTAAGTGTTGTAGTTGATCACCTGAAGAATTAAGGTCTGTTTTCCTGCTTGTTCTTGATGGTTAGACCAACGTCAGCCCAAGAAGCTAGTGGGATAAATTATTGCCATCTTCCCTTTAGTTGTAACTGAGTCGGCCTTGGACCCATTTTTTAGCACCTCCTACCTTCTTACCTCATTCGAGCAATAAAAGTTCCCCTGGACGAATCTTCCTGGATTTCATACTCATTTTTTTTGCAACATTGCAAGTTTATGTGTTAATTGCAACACAAAAGGCCTAGAGTTACCATTCAACTCCCCCTGTGGTTGTTTTGCATATATATATATATATATATATATATATATATATATATATATATATATATATATATATATATATATATATATATATATATATATATATATATTTGTGAATGTTTGGCTAATGTATTTTGTCTTTAAATAAAACATATTTGAAATATAGGGGGTGGTAGGAGAAAATTCTCAAACAGTTTCAGGGTGAACCTTGAGTTTTCCCTGAAGCAAGTTTATTCTTTTCTCTGAGGATGAGGGTCCCCAGGACAGTCCTACAGGTGGTACCTCCCTATATTTATATATATATATATATATATATATATATATATATATATATATATATATATATATATATATATATATATATATATATATATATATATATATATATAATGCCGTGCCGAATAGGTAAAACTGGTCATATTAAGTCCTTTCTAAGATTTTATTTTTTACATTTAAAGATATATATTTTTTCATAGATGTTAATTATAAAAATTAATGATTTTGTACCAAAAGAGCTTTAGGAAAACTTACCTAACTTATTAAAACAAGCGCAATTTAATTTAGCCTAATCCACTCAATATATTTTATATATGTTTAAAATAACTTAATAATAAACAGACACAATGAAATATATTGCATACACAAATTTTAGCTTGTCTTATATGGCAAGTAGTGCATTGTTATTTAGGCTAAAATCGCAAGTTTTATTTATCTGACACAACATATATATTATATATATATATATATATATATATATATATATATATATATATATATATATTATACATAATGGAACCTGAGAACAGATATTTTGCATTAATAAATATAATATTTTAGCAGGTTAGAGGGTCTGGTTAATTAAAGTTTGCCTGAGGTGAGAGCAGAGTAGTGTAAGACAAGGGTAGAATATTGGTCTCACCGACACAAGGGTTCTCGTTGACGAGGGAGTAGAGGCGGGAACACTTCTTATCCAGACCGTCAGGACAGATACAGCCCAGCAAAGGCGTCTCCCTCAGCTGCAGCCACACCTTCAGGCAGTCCTCCCTGTAGGGTAAGACCAGAGTCATGAGGTCACTCAGGGCGAGACCAAGTTCAAGAGGTCACTCAGAGCGAGACGAGGTTCACGAGGTCACTCAGGGCGAGACCAGGTTCACGAGGTCACTCAGGGCGAGACCAGGTTCACAAGGTCACACAAAGGTTCAGGAAGTTACCCATGACACATAGGTCAATTACTACTTCACTTACATGGTTGAACACGGTAAGATCAGGGCCACTAGGTCACTGAGGGTAAGACCAGGGTCACTATGTCACTGAGGGTAAGACCAGGGCCACTAGGTCACTGAGGGTAAGACCAGGGTCACTAGGTCACTGAGGGTAAGACCAGGGTCACTAGGTCACTGAGGGTAAGACCAGGGTCACTAGGTCACTGAGGGTAAGACCAGGGCCACTAGGTCACTGAGGGTAAGACCAGGGTCACTAGGTCACTGAGGGTAAGACCAGGGTCACTAGGTCACTGAGGGTAAGACCAGGTCCACTAGGTCACTGAGGGTAAGACCAGGGTCACTAGGTCACTGAGGGTAAGACCAGGGTCCCTAGGTCACTGAGGGGTAAGACCAGGGTCACTATGTCACTGAGGGTAAGACCAGGTCCACTAGTTCACTGATGGCAAAACCAGGACCACTAGGTCACTGTGGGTAAAATGTGGAGAAATTTTCTCCACAGGGGGCGTCGACCCCTCTCAAGAGACTAAAACTCCTCTCTCTAATTTCACTCACTGGCAGAGCAGGAGTGGGCTAGAGAGGGTCATGACCTCTTTTTTTCCATTAAGAGGGATAAAGCTAGAGCTTATATCTTGCAGCGTAACTCCATTAACGTATACCAGAACCATCCATATATCTCAGCATGTGTTCGTCACTCTCCATGTTTACACACTCTCACTAATGAGACGCGCGTTAAGAGCAGATAAAATCGTCACATGACATTCACACGTTTTCAGATAGCTCTGCCCTCTTACCGGAGAATCTGCAAAACAATACATTCGCGTGTTTCTCTGAGTAAGCTTCGGTTTCCTCACACCATTAAAAATTCGAGACAATATGCCTGCATGTGTGATTGTTTCATATGTAGTTACATCAGCCCGCGCTCCCTTACATAACTTTCACAGACATGGGCCCCTAATTGCTCCTTCGAATACTACACGGTTAATGATCTATTTCATTTTTATTATTAACAGTGGTTATAGTACTTAAAAACCTGCTATTGTTTTCTTAACAGGTGTCATAGCACTTACTACCTTGCTACAGTTATTTTTCTGTTAACAGTGGTTATAACAGTTACTGCCCAGCTGCAGATGTTGCATTTCTGTTGACAGTGGTTATAGCACTTACTGCCCTGCTGCAGATATTGTATTTCTGTTAACAGTGATTATAACACTTACTGCCCTACTGCAGATGTTGTATTTCTGTTAACAATGGTTATAGCACTTACTGCCCTGCTGCAGATATTGTATTTCTGTTAACAGTGATTATAACACTTACTGCCCTACTGCAGATGTTGTATTTCTGTTAACAATGGTTATAGCACTTACTGCCTTGCTGCAGATGTTATATTTCTGTTAACAGTGGTTATAACACTGCCCTACTGCAGATGTTATATTTCTGTTAACAGTGGTTATAGCACTTACTGCCTTGCTGCAGATGTTATATTTCTGTTAACAGTGGTTATAGCACTTACTGCCTTGCTGCAGATGTTATATTTCTGTTAACAGTGGTTATAGCACTTACTGCCTTGCTGCAGATGTTATATTTCTGTTAACAGTGGTTATAGCACTTACTGCCTTGCTGCAGATGTTATATTTCTGTTAACAGTGGTTATAGCACTTACTGTCTCCTGCTAACAACCAGTGAGGATCTTTATTTTCACATCCTTATCATAACTATCATCATTTAGCTCCTGAAGTCAGTTTTATTATGTTTTAAGACTTTTTCAATCACATCTATATTTTTTTTGTATTATACATTTGAGAAGTCTGCTACACAGACTAATTTATGCCCACGGTATTTTTTTTTTTAATAGTTTTACAATACATATATCTAAAATACACAAACAACCCGTACATAGATGAAAGAAACTTATAACGACGTTTCAGTCAGACTAGAACCATTAACTAGTCAAACACTAATGGTTCAAGTCGGACCGAAACGTCCGGGTAGACTGGTAAGCCAGCGGAAGGCCTCGATCAGATGTCCAAAAGCTCCAGTGGTGGGTCATCATATGACTAAGACCCGAGTCAGGAAACATTTGTTCTGTTTCCTGACAAACCTTAGCTAACCTAACCTAACCTATGTGCCAGTTATTTGTGGATTGTTCCAGTCACAGTATTGTGCCTCTCTCTTCTTTGTATATATCTAATAAAGGGTTAGAGAGAGAGAGAGAGAGAGAGAGAGAGAGAGAGAGAGAGAGAGAGAGAGAGAGAGAGAGAGAGAGAGAGAGAGAGAGAGAGAGAGAGAGGCCAATTAGAAGTTTGCACTTACAGCACCAGTCTCTTAATATATATTAATTTATACCCTCTGGTTAACACTGTTGTCTGCAGTTCCCCCCAGATCTCTCTCTCCAACATCTTCAATATTTTTATCATTATATATCATGCAGATTCACCTGTAAATTAACAATGAACCTGGAATAATTCACTTTTACTCTGCTGCGCCTCATTTTAGCATGGTCATGTTGGTCTAATATGATAGATAATTAAATACTGTAAAACGTTGGTTTTGAAGAATGTTTTCATATAGAAATACTGATTATCATTATCGAGAATTTTTAGCTCTCATGTGCTTCCTGTACATTTAGCAATGATTTTCATGTGTTTCACGTACATTTAACAATAGCTCTCATCTGTTTAACGTACATTTAATAGCTCTCATGTGCTTAACATACATTTAACAATAGCTCTCATGTGCTTAACATACATTTAACAATAGCTCTCATGTGCTTAACATACATTTAACAATAGCTCTCATGTGCTTAACATACCATACCCCGGCCGGGATTGAACCCGCGGTCAGAGTCTCAAAACTCCAGCCCGTCGCGTTAGCCACTGGACCAGCTAGCCACAATAAGATTCGTCCAACTAGGTATATTTCTACACCATAGGAAGGTTAGCACAGGCACCACTGTGGCCACAAATGCAAGTTTTTACAGACGAATCTCCAGCTAGCGTGGCCGTGACGTTCAATCCCGGCCGGGGTATGGTTTGTTTGCAATAGTGTCATTACGATTTCGTGAGTCGTGCTTAACATACATTTAGCAATAGCTCTCATGTGCTTAACATATATTTAACAATAGCTCTCATGTGCTTAACATACATTTAACAATAACTCTCATGTGCTTAACATACATTTAACAATAGCTCTCACGAGCATCAAGTACAGTTAATAATATAAATGGTATTGAAATCCGATTCCTCCTGCCTTAAAACATATGATATGACGACAATGGTGCATATGATTATATTAGGTCTATGGGGTTTCAGGGGGCGAACCCTGGTGACCTTAAGGATTTTCTTTTGCCTCTCTTCTGGATCAATTATTCATGACACAAGGAACATGGATAATACCACGGATAAAGTGTAACACGCAGTCTGAATCACGACATGAGTTAGTCACGACCACTATCTTTAAACTTTTTTTCGTAAATACAAATGTTTCACCTGTCAGCTGTGGATGAACGATGTCTTACGAGGAAAAGTAGTGAGAAAGGCACTGCAGTGAAACCTGGGAACTCAGTGTTTCTCAGTGCCAGCCATGGAACTTACAGGTACAAAAGAACACCACTTACCTGTCCGTGTTGTGGCACTGGCCGTTACGGAACTTGCAGGTGGCGCTGAACACGTCAAGACGCTGCTTGCACCATGAGTTGTCGTGGCAGATATCAGCGGCCTCCTCGCAGGTAGGGATGTAGCGCAGCGGGTGCATGTCTACCTCTGCGCCGCCACCAAACACGTGCACGCCAAGAGAAATAAAAAGTTATTGTCGCTGGCGATTTTAGGTATAATCTGGCAACTTATGCCATAATTATGACCAGTTAAAGGCCAACAGGTTCCCTAAACAGAAATTTCAGAGTTACCAAAAGAGTTATATTAAATGTAAAGGATTTAAATCCAAAATCCACAGCCGAAATAGAAAGTGAGTGAGAGTGAGAGTAAAAGTGAGTGAGCGAGTGAGAATGAGCAAAATGATGTAATTATAGAGGAAGTAAAAACATTACTTTCGTGCATCAGTAAATGAAGGAAGCAACGTAAATCTGAATAAGTGAGAGTGTTCAAAAATAATTATAGAGAAAGAATACAACAATAAAGCAAGGTCACCTGTAGTAATGACACAATACAACAATAAAGCAAGGTCACCTGTAGTAATGACACAATACAACAATAAAGCAAGAAGGTCACCTGTAGTAATGACACAATACAACAATAAAGCAAGGTCACCTGTAGTAATGACACAATACAACAATAAAGCAAGAAGGTCACCTGTAGTAATGACACAATACAATAATAAAGCAAGGTCACCTGTAGTAATGACACAATACAACAATAAAGCAAGAAGGTCACCTGTAGTAATGACACAATACAACAATAAAGCAAGAAGGTCACCTGTAGTAATGACACAATACAACAATAAAGCAAGGTCACCTGTAGTAATGACACAATACAACAATAAAAGCAAGAAGGTCACCTGTAGTAATGACACAATACAACAATAAAGCAAGGTCACCTGAAGTAATGACACAATACAACAATAAAGCAAGAAGGTCACCTGTAGTAATGACACAATACAACAATAAAGCAAGGTCACCTGTAGTAATGACACAATACAACAATAAAGCAAGAAGGTCACCTGTAGTAATGACACAATACAACAATAAAGCAAGAAGGTCATCTGTAGTAATGACACAATACAACAATAAAGCAAGAAGGTCACCTGTAGTAATGACACAATACAACAATAAAGCAAGAAGGTCACCTGTAGTAATGACACAATACAACAATAAAGCAAGAAGGTCACCTGTAGTAATGACAATACAACAATAAAGCAAGAAGGTCACCTGTAGTAATGACACAATACAACAATAAAGCAAGAAGGTCACTTGTAGTAATGACACAATACAACAATAAAGCAAGAAGGTCACCTGCAGTAATGACACAATACAACAATAAAGCAAGAAAGTCACCTGTAGTAATGACACAATACAACAATAAAGCAAGAAGGTCACCTGTAGTAATGACACAATACAACAATAAAGCAAGAAGGTCACCTGTAGTAATGACACAATACAACAATAAAGCAAGAAGGTAACCTGTAGTAATGACACAATACAACAATAAAGCAAGAAGGTCACCTGTAGTAATGACACAATACAACAATAAAGCAAGAAGGTCACCTGTAGTAATGACACAATACAACAATAAAGCAAGAAGGTCACCTGTTGTAATGACAAAATACAACAATAAAGCAAGAAGGTCACCTGTAGTAATGACACAATACAACAATAAAGCAAGAAGGTCACCTGTAGTAATGACACAATACAACAATAAAGCAAGAAGGTCACCTGTAGTAATGACACAATACAACAATAAAGCAAGAAGGTCACCTGTAGTAATGACACAATACAACAATAAAGCAAGAAGGTCACTGTAGTAATGACACAATACAACAATAAAGCAAGAGGTCACCTGTAGTAATGACACAATACAACAATAAAGCAAGAAGGTCACCTGTAGTAATGACACAATACAACAATAAAGCAAGAAGGTCACCTGTAGTAATGACACAATACAACAATAAAGCAAGAAGGTCACTTGTAGTAATGACACAATACAACAATAAAGCAAGAAGGTCACCTGTAGTAATGACAATACAACAATAAAGCAAGAAGGTCACCTGCAGTAATGACACAATACAACAATAAAGCAAGAAAGTCACCTGTAGTAATGACACAATACAACAATAAAGCAAGAAGGTCACCTGTAGTAATGACACAATACAACAATAAAGCAAGAAGGTCACCTGTAGTAATGACACAATACAACAATAACGCAAGAAGGTAACCTGTAGTAATGACACAATACAACAATAAAGCAAGGTCACCTGTAGTAATGACACAATACAACAATAAAGCAAGAAGGTCACCTGTAGTAATGACACAATACAACAATAAAGCAAGGTCACCTGTAGTAATGACACAATACAACAATAAAGCAAGAAGGTCACCTGTAGTAATGACACAATACAACAATAAAGCAAGGTCACCTGTAGTAATGACACAATACAACAATAAAGCAAGAAGGTCACCTGTAGTAATGACACAATACAACAATAAAGCAAGAAGGTCACCTGTAGTAATGACACAATACAACAATAAAGCAAGGTCACCTGTAGTAATGACAATACAACAATAAAGCAAGAAGGTCACCTGCAGTAATGACACAATACAACAATAAAGCAAGAAAGTCACCTGTAGTAATGACACAATACAACAATAAAGCAAGAAGGTCACCTGTAGTAATGACACAATACAACAATAAAGCAAGAAGGTCACCTGTAGTAATGACACAATACAACAATAAAGCAAGAAGGTAACCTGTAGTAATGACACAATACAACAATAAAGCAAGAAGGTCACCTGTAGTAATGACACAATACAACAATAAAGCAAGAAGGTCACCTGTAGTAATGACACAATACAACAATAAAGCAAGAAGGTCACCTGTAGTAATGACACAATACAACAATAAAGCAAGAAGGTCACCTGTAGTAGTAATGACACAATACAACAATAAAGCAAGAAGGTCACCTGTAGTAATGACACAATACAACAATAAAGCAAGAAGGTCACCTGTAGTAATGACACAATACAACAATAAAGCAAGAAGGTCACCTGTAGTAATGACACAATACAACAATAAAGCAAGAAGGTCACCTGCAGTAATGACACAATACAACAATAAAGCAAGAAAGTCACCTGTAGTAATGACACAATACAACAATAAAGCAAGAAGGTCACTGTAGTAATGGACACAATACAACAATAAAGCAAGAAGGTCACCTGTAGTAATGACACAATACAACAATAAAGCAAGAAGGTCACCTGTAGTAATGACACAATACAACAATAAAGCAAGAAGGTCACCTGTAGTAATGACACAATACAACAATAAAGCAAGAAGGTCACCTGTAGTAATGACACAATGAGAAGAATTATTCACTTCACTTCGAAGTATTTTATAGGATTTTTCTAAGATATTGTAAATTAACAACCAAATGTAAATTATGTGGTATCTTCCCTTGATAAGACGCCAAACTAAAACTCACCTCATTAATCAATTAAAATCTTTTCATACACCAGATAAAGTCCCAGTAATGACTCTGTCCTCTACCTCTGAGGACGACTCTGACTCTGCATTCTATTTCTGAAATTAATGTCAAGCTTCCAAACTCTGTCCTCCTCAAGGACCCTAGCCCTTTAATGGTGGGGCTGTCTGAAACTCAAGCAACAAGTTTAACTGCGCTTCTGCAGTCATACCCTAATATTTTTTTCGGATGTGCCGAGAAAATGTACGTTAGGTTATCATGACGTAGATGTGGGAAACTCTAAACCTAATAAACTCTCCCCCTACAGAGCTAATCCTGAAAAGCAGAAGCTACTTCAGCAGCAGGTAGAATTCCTGTTAGAACATGTGTTAGTGGAGGAGTCATCTAGTCCATGGGCTTCACCGTGCATCCTTGTTAAAAAAAAAACTGATGGAGGTTTTCGTATGTGTACAGACTACCGTAAGGTGAATTAGGTCACAATCACAGATGCTTACCCTCTTCCTCGTTCGGATGACGTAATCGACTTTGTGCGTAAGGCTACTTTTGTGTCCAAATTAGATCTCCTTAAAGGTTACTATCAGGTACCTTTGACGGATAAGGCGAAGGAAATCTCTGCCTTCGTAATTCCAGGTCATTATCAATATACAGTTACCCCCTTCGGAATGAAAAACTCCCCCTCTTCATTCCAGAAACTTATCCATCAGGCTATTAAAGGACTTGAAGGCACGGCAGCGTACCTGGATGATATTGTTGTGATGTCTGATACTTGGGATCAACACCTATTTAAACTTAAGGCTCTCTTTAAGACCTTCCAGAGTTCTCATTTAACTGTTAATTTATCTAAGTCTTCCTTTGGCCAGGCCACTGTTACTTTTCTAGGCCATGAAGTGGGTAGTGGCAAAGTTGCTCCTAAATTTGCTAAAGTTCTTGCCATTAAAGATTACTCAATTCCCCATGATACGAAATCTCTTCAACGTTTCCTAGGCATGATAGGGTTTTAAAGAAAATTTTGCAAAATTTTTTCCAATATTGTAGCCCCCCTTACCTCTCTTACCAGTCACAAAGTTCCCTTTAATTGGGCCCCAGAAAGTCAAAATGCTTTTACGAAAGCAAAAAGATTGTTGTGTACTGCACCATTCTTTTGTCTTCAGACTTCTCCAAACCTTTCTCATTACAGATTGATGCTTGTGAGTCTGGGATTGGGGCAGTACTGTTGCAAAACGGGGACGAGAGTTTGCAGCCTGTGGCTTTCTACTCGGCCAAGTTCCAGCCGCACCAGAGGGCTTACCCTGCCATTGAAAAAGAAGCCCTCGCGTTGGTACTGGCCTTGGAGCACTTCGATGTTTATGTGGGTCAGACTTCACAGGTGGTCACTGTCTATAGTGAGCACAACCCTCTGGTATATCTCAAAGCCATGAAGAACCACAATACGAGGCTCATGAGATGGAGTCTACGACTGCAACCCTATTCTCTCAGAATATTACACATTGCTGGCAAAGAAAATAAGTTGGTAGATGCATTATCAAGATTGTAATAGGTTAGGATGTGTTAGGGACTTATGGTAACTCGAAAACTCTTTTTTTTTATCCCCTTGTGTGGGTTTTTTTTTAGT